ATTTTTTTTTTTCCAAAGTGCTGGTTGCGGGATTTGATTCCGCGTCAATGCTGGGACAACCCAGCTAACACACCAACGAGCCAGTCCTTAATTGGTTACGACGAGTTGAGTGACAGCTAAGTATTGATTGAAGATGGAGAATTTGGGGTACACTTTACAGAAAAATATTAACAGACCCAATGCATATTTCTGATTTTCACTATAGAATTATAAACATTCAAAATCGCAACAACCCAAGCTCTAATTAACATCAATTCCCCAACAGTACTTTGAGCCTACAAATTCTGAACTTGGGCTGATTCGTCATTCTCCGCAAAATGTGTTTCCAACATCAATTCAATTGTCAATTTGGGTCAATGGATTTGTATTTGATAAGGTCGTGAATCGGATTTGGTTAGACCACTACGTGGACCAATTGGAAGCCGACCAATGTCCAAGTTGAAGATTGCCACCTGACCAGCAGCTCGTTCGAGCCAAGGAATGGTGGCGTGGTGCATTGTGGGACCAATGTAGCCAGCGAGTCAACACTAGGATGTCACACATCCCGTATGAAATGGACCACGTGACAAACACTGGCTAAGCCTGATCAACTGTCAAGGTGGTGCAACGGCTCTTATCCTCCTCGTCCCCCTTTTGGTGGGCTGTGTTGCCATGTCTCCACAAGGTGAGACTTCTTCAGTATTTGTGTGCACTTCATCTGCTTCTTGTCCACATCAGTATTTTAATACCCGAAGACCACCGATCTCTGGTATATCTAAAGTATCATTAAAGTCCGGTGCTTCTCTTATGTCGATCTCTCCACAATCAGAGGACGGTAATGGAGGAGAGGGAGGTGCTCTAGGATTCAGCAAAAAGATAAAACTCTAGGATTTCATGGTGACATGCCACCAGGTGAGAAGCACATTTTTCAAGGCTCTTGACTTTAGAATGAGTAAACCAGTCAAAGCTATGAATATCAAAACCACTGGTAATAGACACGGAAGACAGAATATAGAATTTTTCTGTTTCATGCAAGATTTACTCTGAAATGCACCGCCTGCAACTCCACACCAATGCTCTTCCATCAGTCCAAAGCAATAACATAAAATTTGGCACATGATTCATATTCTCCATTTGCCTATTTAAATATGAAGGAATCCTATAGTCTACAAGGTCAATAGGAAAGCGATGTTCCTTTTTTTTACCTTCTTTTGGGTCCTGGAAAAGTGCCAAGTAGAGATGGAAATGAAAGAAAACATTTTATAAAAACTGTAAGAAAGGAGGGGAATAGAGGCGACAAAACTAATTTGATAAATTTGACAGTGTAGTAGAGCAAGCCCAACATTGGGTTTTAAGAAGATTAGAGTAAAAAAAAGAATAAATCTTTAAAATTATGAATACAAGAAAAGATGCTTGACCATGAGTCTATGAATGAAACAAGAACCTCTCAAATCGTAAATCTAATCAATTATGGTATTTGAAACTATTAAGTTATCTGTAATTTTCCCTTTGTTTTATTACTCTATTCATTCGCTTCTTCATCGGTTTGGTTCCTCGTTCTTACCTCCACGGCTCCACCACCACTACCAGGGCAGGCCACCTCTGTAACAGCAATCAGCTTTCACTCACTTTCTGAAGCTTACTTCTTTCAATCTAAAATTTGAAATACGGGGTGGTGGTGGTGCCCACTGACCAAAACAGGGGATGAGTTTTTGAGAACAAAACGAGGATGGGAGGAATCTCCCGAAGCCGTTCCTCCACACAGGGAGCTGTTATTAGATGCGTTCTAGGCAGTCTATGTTGGATAAGCTCAGCTCTTGCTCTTTATACAGGTCATTCGTGACAATTCTGCCACTGTTGTTCTCTGTGTCCTTTTACCGTTGGGCATATTTAGTTCGGCTTCACCATGACCATGAGCTCCTCTTCTTTCAATCTGGAAACGCTACTCATCAGTCATCACTCCCTCAAAATCCAGTCACTGCAACAGAGGATGAATCTAGGGCCCCAGCCTGACAATTGAACTGGAAGCACATTTTAAGCAAAATATATTCTTCAGGTTAGTACTCTGGACTTTGAATCCAGAGACCTGGGTTCGACCCTAAGAAGAGAAGAATATGTCCAATCTGCACATCCTGTAGGTGGAGGGGGAATGCTGGAATGGGCAATTGGGCATCGACCAATGGCCATCGTCCTCGTCCATCGATAGATGTTCTTTTGGTGAGCTTCGGCAATATGTAACGAAGACAATAAGCACCCACAGAATTTGTAACCAAAAAGAATTACAAATTCACAGTTCGAGATCGAGATCGAGAGAGATGTTGTGAAAAAGAATCAGGAAAGGATGTATTTATATATTAAGTGTTCCCGCCTCCGCTTATCCCCACATTTACCAAGACCTTATACCCTCCCTCTCCTCCAAAGAGAAATGAAAACCCTTCTCAGTCTCTATGTACAAGACAAGATACACCACCCCCAATACAACCGAAAACCAAAAACAACAAGTATAAAAATCTCCTGCTCTTTTATCTTTTCTCCTCCCATCCACGCTCTTCACAATTTTATTCACCCACCCC